TACTATGCCCAGACGAGTCCCCAAGGAATGCCACAGCACCCTCCAGCACCTCAGGTATAATAAATTTACTAATGTGTTGTTGATTTCTACTCCAATTGTTTTCTGCATGTTTACTGTTTTGTCTGTTTGGGATTATGTTTGCCTTTTTAACTTTTATCTGGCAAAGTATAACTTAGAAGTACTGTGGTGTGTTGTTTGGGTTTTTTTTGTTTTGTTTTGTTTTTTAATAATGCTTTCTGGCATCTGAGTGCTGAATATTTCTACAATGCCTTTGATTTTAAAAATAAATTTTCTTCCCCCAGGGATTTGCAAATCATGCAAGAAGCCACCACCATTTATATTAACCAGTTTTTCTTTCTTAAAGGATTCACTCCTGAGTTAGCTCCATTTAAAGGATTTTCTTTAACTTTTTGTGTATTTCTTATGTATCTCTTCTGCACAGGGCCAATAATAAGAAGTGGACAATACAGTATTTGCTTCATTGTGTGGGGGAAAAAAACCTTTGTTAAATATATGGATGCAGACGACTTGATGAAGATCTTAATTTTGTTTTTGGTTTAAAATAGTGTTTTTTTTTTTTTTGAAAATGTACAAAATATCTATCACTACTGATAGGAGGTTAATATTTCTGTGTAGAAATGAAAAATTGGTTTGTTTTTAGTATTTAGTGTAGATGTACACATTCCAGCAAATGTATTTGCAACTATTATGTGGTCAATGCTTTGTGATATAAATGTACTTTTTCAATGTATACTTTCACTTTTAAAATGCCTGTTTTGTGCTTTACAATAAATGATATGAAACCTCCTGTGTCGGTAAGTTGGATATGTGGGTATTTAAAGGATTCATAATTTCTTAGCAATGATAAATTAAGATACATATACACAAATATCTAAGCTTTCCCCATGAAATATTAATTGAGTTTTTAAACACTGGCATGTTTTTTCCCCCTTGCAGTATAGTAATAGATTGGAGGATCTTTTCCGTTTATTGTATTTGGCTGTTTCAGCACAAGTAATCCTGATATCTTCATTTTTTTTCCTTCTGTTTGAGTAAAAACTGCATGTGTGTACAATGATCTTTTGGCATACTTCCATTGCATTAACAGTGAAATTTCCTTTTATACATGACCACTGTTTCAGACCTGTACTGCTGCTATAACAGTTAACCTTTCTGTTCTTAATTTGATAATTACTTGATTTCCAAATGGTTTCAGCATAACTAATTTTAAACAGTTTTTGATAGTGAATATGAGTAGTCTACTAAGAAGAGTTTTTTTCATGTAAAGCAACTCTTGCAATGTATACAATATTAGTGTGTTTCTTTCTAAATTTAGGGTAGAAAAGTGAATAGTATGCAAAAAGTATAGCTACAGTGCATCTGCCATTGAACCATTGGGGTATGGAAACGTTCAAGCTTTTTTCTTTTCCTTTTTGCAGTATAGATAAGCTTTGTTTTGTAAATGCACAAGTCCAATCATTGAATCAACTTAATTTTTTTATGTACTTGAAATCATTTTATTACTCTATAACACTCATGTTGAAGTTCTGATATTTTGTTGAAATCCATTGTTTTACTCTTTGCATATTTGTTGGCTCTTTGCATATTAATATATTAGACTACATGCAAATACAGTCTGTCTTGCCATTGTCTGTTGAAGTGCAGGTTTGATCCAGCCAGTATAGAACTAGCTCTGTAGGGGTGAGGAGGACTGTGCTGTGTATCATCCTTGATTGTGTTCCTTCAAGGAGCATTGCACTGTAAGTACATCAGAATGACAAATTGATGAACTGCAACAGTATCTTTTTGTCAATGTTCCACATAATGTAAATGCCATACTTTGTGTGAATATTATGTTGGAATACAGTGCTGATATCTTGGAAAACCATAACTGCTTCTTAATTTAACATAGAATAATACATAGGTCTGTATTTTTTTTTAAGTGAGCTTAATGGGTAAGTATTTTTTGATATGCTTTAGCTGTAGCTAAAGAAAACTGATCATTAACAAAGTTGAATAGTATTCCTCATTGGTGCTCCTGAAATATATTGTTTTTCAGTGTAAAATATGCATATCTTATATATTAATATGAAAGACTTGAAATGTATCAGACATAAGTGGTTTTCAGTTTGCAAATATTAAGTCTTGTAGCAGTTTAACACCATTTCATAAATATATATTCTTTCATTTGTGAGGAGCACCATTTGTTGTTTTGAATATACTATAAAGGAAGATGTACAAGGACATAAATGTTGCGATTACAGGGTAGAAAATAGCAGTACATTTCATTGTAGATATTTTGAAATGTTTTTGATTGTTTTATAGAACTTAGAGTGACTTCCCTTACCCTTATTTAGATATGGATTATAGTTCTAGTTTGAAATTTAATAGTTAAGGAGTTAGTTATCTGTTATCTTTTAAGAGTGTAGGGTATTGACATGAACAATTTCAGTATTTTGCATGATACTGTTTTATAGATGACCTTTTAGGAAAGTGGTGCATTTTATTGATTAAACTGAAGAAATAGCTCAGTTGGAGTCAATATCATAACTCACAAATTGGAGGCTGTTGATTTTGATTCATTTAAGGTTTAAAATCTTTATTAATTGCAAACAGTGCAATTATTTATACTTCACAGTGCCTTCCCAGACCTTCCACCTTAGGTTCTGCTGCAAAAAGCAACAGGTAAGCACAACCTAAGGACATATATAAATAAATATTTCAGTACATTAATGTTGTCCCTGTGAGGTTTTGTGGTTGTGTATTCAAAAGCAATCTGCTACTGCTTCCCCAAAATGTACTTTGTTATTTATGCTACCATTTCAGTGGAAAGTCTGTAAGTTGTTCAAGCAACTGTTTACATTTCTGGGTAATGTTTTTTTATTTTAATTTTTTTTTTATTGAAACAAGAAAAAGAAGTGAGTAGATTGCTGCTATAATTGAAATACATTCAAACTTTTTGTAATCTTTTCCCGTATATGGAAGAACTGTTAAAATTAAGAAAAGGCATTTACATAAGTTTTCAAGATTTAGGGGCTCACTTGGTGAGGAACTTCAACAGCCTTCACAATCTGTTTATGATTGATAGGACATTTTCTTTGCCCTTCAAAGCTCTGGAGTCTTATTCTTGAACTTTAGTAATTCAGTAAGGACATATTGAGTCAGAGTTTATTGTGACTTTTTTTTTTAGACAGTTGAATTTTCTTAACTTTTATATACATTGAAAAAGGAAAGAAATAAGGAATAATGGCAGTGTGTTTTGATAAAAGGCATGTGCATCAGTGAAATGTTAACTGTATAGCAAATAACTTTCATAATCTGTTTAGCAACCAGTATTTTTCTGACTTATAATACTTTAATAACTGACGCTGCATTTTATTTTTTGCCAGTTTAAAATGTTTGTGTGTTTTTATAGGTGATTTTAACTGGTACATATTTTGAGTTAAGTTGGATGTATTAAAGCAGCATCATATCAGTTTTGTTTATTCAGTTTCTAAAATGTGCTGATCCTTTTAAAACTCCTGCTTATCTCTACAACAAAGAAAAATATTCAAAAATACTGCCTTCATTTTCACACACAGTGCTGAAGATGCTGCAAGCACCAAAATCATAGCTCATAAAATCAGGTCCTGAGATAGTTACCCATAAAGAGGAATCCTTTGAGTGTATGCCATTGGTGAGCCGATGAGCATGGACCATAGAAGGGCTCAATGTAGAAGGTAAAATTGGCAAATCATAACTGAGAAATATGAAATGTATTCCCATACATAATATGATACAGGGTGTAATGTACCTGCTTTTGATCACTTTTTGTTTTAAAGTGTTATTCACTTGATCTTAAATGTTCCATGAACTGTTTCATAAGTTATGTAGCTAATGCACCACATCTGTGTGTGTATCTGTGTTTTAATAGTCGATGATAGGTATGTTAAGATTGATAATATAAAGGGGCTCTTTGAACCTTAGGAGCCTGTCAAGGTTTGGTTAGTTGTAGTTTGCATTTTTATAAAAGAAAATTTTAAATGAATGCTAATAGATAATGGGGCATTGTTTCTGTCTCATAGAATTTTTTTCATTACCATAAACCTTCACTGATACTGCAAGCATTTTTTAAATGGCGCTATCTTAACCTTGAAATAAATGGAAAGCAGAAAAGGTGAGCCAGGTGATTTGAATGCAGTGGATGTTAGGTGTGGTAGAAACAATGTTTAGTTTAGATTGAAATTATTTTGTTAGTACTTAAAAAACTTGACAATGTGTTGCTGTTTTTTAAAATATCTTAGTGTGGTGATACCTAGATTTCTTATGGTTTCTTGTTTTAGAAATTTGAAGTATACTTTTTAATTAATGAAAATGGTTTTGATACTAAAACTAGTGATTTAATTCTAGTTCTTTATAAACATTGTAAAATAATATCCTTATACAAATATCTTGGTAGTTAATTCATAAAGGTGGGTTTGGGTAGGAGTAGCAGAGTATATTAAGAGAGAAATAGGAATATATTCAGAAGCAATGACATTTCATTTGAGTACTCTGCCAGAAGAACCACTTTACTTGCAAAATTAACTGTTGTCTAGAATAAGGATGTAGAAATTATAATCAATGAGGATGTCTTATTTTTATTTTCTGAAAATTCTGCCTCATTTTAAAATGTATTCTAACAATACCTAGTTAAAGATAATTTTAATCTTTTTTTTTTTTTTTTTTTTAGTCACTTGAGTTTTCTTGCCACAGTATAAACTTCTGAGGGATTTTTAATTGGTGCTTTTAAGAAGCAAATAAGTCCCAGGGTTTTATTTTCTTCAGTGATACCCTTATAGAAACTCTTAAATGTATTTGCGCATATATTTTTTCTTATGCATGCTCAATGCATTTTCGTCCTGAGAAAAGTGTTCTCTACAGAAACTACCCGTGTGTAAAAAGAAGATTGACTTAAAATGGCTACTGTGATGGGAACAGTGTCTTAGGGAGATGCAGCTTGGACTTGAGGTAAATTGAATACTTTACAAACTGTGGTTAAGAGTTTGCTTTAATGACATTGTATGTAAAAGGGTACATGATTACTGTAATTTTGTATTGATTATGGTTTCCTCAATAAAAAAAATAAATGTACATTGATGAATATTATAAGAAACTGTTTTGTCTGTTTTCTAAAATACTTTTTAATGCACAAGTTACTTTATTATGGATTTACAGTGTAAAATAAATTCGTCTTCCAGAAAATTAAATACAAAACAACTTGATAATAGAACATAGTAGCTAATAATTTACAAACTCATTTTAAAGACCAGAATTTAAAATTGAAGATTGTGTTGTTTGTCCTTAAATCTAATCCTCTTAGATCAGGAAATCTTTGTGTTGGAAGTATTTACTGCTGCATGAAGTTTTCTCATTAAAAATGTAATTTGTTCAGCCAAGATCACAACATAAACTTAATAAGCTTGAATATATAGTACACACATTTGAAAAATACTCTCAAAACTCTGAATAGGCAATGGTTTCCAGCAGCAAATAGTCTCTAACAAATGTTTTAACTTAATTTCTGTCTTCCTTTCCCATAAAAGGAATGAAAACCCTCTTAAATACATCTGCTTTAGAAAGACAAACTGAACAACAACCAAAATAATGAGGAAAGGCCCACTCAAATTGATAGGTTCCAAATTCATTAGTTGTAGCTATTTCAGGCTAACCATAGATACGTAAATAGCTCATAAATAGCATTTCATGCAGTTTAATTAGTGTTCTACCTATGGTTTTTTAAAACATAGATGCTGTAAACTTAGGGAAATATACAACCTTGTAACAGGTTCTGATAGAATAAATGACTGAGTAAATTTCCCACTTTCCTGTTAAAGACACTTCTGCACAATACAGTGATGAATCTGGTTCTCATTTGGAAAGCAAGAAGATACTCTTTAGACGACCTTGTGTTTTGAAGACTTATGAAAAGGAATAAGAAGTCAACATAGTGGCACATCTGTCTTCCTTTTTTGGCCCCGCCATGGAAAAGATGGATGCAGTAAGAAAGTTGGAGAGAGAAAGGAGAAAGTTCCAGGGAGAGGGAAGGGGAGCCTAGTAGTCGTCAGCTAAAAAAGAGAAGAAGAAAAGTGATTTTTTTTTTTTTTGAGGATAAAAATATTTAAATAGAATAAAAGGCCTAGATTAATAGTGATTGATTCTTACTTTCAATGGTAAGAATACAAGTACTAGCCGCAGAACCTTTATTGTTCACTGCTTTACACATATACTCTCCTTCATCTTCTGGGAAAGTTTCTGGTAAATAAAGGCAGTAAGTTTCTCCTCTTTCAATATATTGATAGTCTTCTCCATCCTGCAGTATTTCTCCTTCAAACCACCATGTGATTTCTGGTTTGGGTTCTCCTGTTACTTTAACAGTAAATCTGACGGGCTCACTGTCAACAACTGATGTGTTTTTTAAAGGCTTCTTGAACCACGGAGCTCCTGATCTGGTTTGCTCTTCATCATCAGTAGTTGAGCCATTCATGATGCTAGCCTCCTCCTCTTCCTCCTCTTCTCTTTTCTACATTAAAATGTATGCATTCCAGTTAATGCTCATTTACACTATAGTGACATTTTCAGAACAATGGTTTAGTAGAATTTTTGAAGTTTTCAAAGTACTTATAACAAACTAAATTCCATTGACTTTAAAGTATTAAAATGATCTTTATATAAAACCTTGTTTTTAAAAGAATATCTTTAGAAAACAAAAGGCTATGTAAGCCTGATGATACCTTTTGTAGTGCTGCATCAATTTCCTTTTGTTCAAACTGCATGCGTAGTAACTTTTGTTCTTCAATTCTTCTTTGTTCTTCTTCTTCTCTTGCCTTAGCCATTCGTTCAAATCTAGCTTTCATATTCACTTTATGAGTAAATGGAGCCTCACTTTTTTTTGCAGGTTTGACATCAACATCATCTTCCTGTAAGAAAGTGGGCCAAGAAAAGAATCGCTTGTTTTTTAAAACCAGTAGTAACTAAAGCATTGATTGTAAAGGTCACACAATATTTCTGAATTTAAGAGAGTATTTGCCCAACAAACTTGATGTTTGTTGATAGTGGTGAATAACAGAGTAGGTATACTATACTTTTCAGCAATTGTTAAAATACTCCCTTCTCACATGTCTCCATATTTTTGCTCCCCCCACAAGTCTTAGTATTCTTTACCCTATTCCATAAAACAGAAAATGCAATTTCTGTTTTTTCCAACTTCCTCATCCTTCTAGTAAATAACTCCTTGAATGAATTCCATCCAAATGGCAGGGAAGACTGGAGGCAGAAGAAGGAATGACAGTTTTTGAAGAGGCAAAATACATTGCTGGAACTTAGGGAAATAATGGAGGTGAAATAACTCTTTCAAATAAAAGTGAAAATTGGAAGCCACAGATAATTAGGGGAGTAATTTAAAAGCAGAGTTTGAGTCTATAATACCAATCTGGTGATAGAGCCTTTGAGAGCAGTTTTAGTAGAGTAGGATCATGTGGGTATAGTTAATGATTTCTAAAGTAAGTCTTAACTCTTGCTTTCCATGTAGACTTTTGTGGGTGTACTGGGAATACCACCATTCATGTTTACCATTACTATGAGAAAATTACTATGGGCTACCACATCCCAATTCATGCCATTATTTATCTTGATGAATATTGCCTAACTACAGTTACTGCTAATGAAAGATATTGATACAGTGGTTTATTATGAGATGCTAAAAAAAGTACATGTTCAACAATGTATTACAGCAGTTCTATCAACAGAATTTTCTGGGACTTTTTAAAAAAATCATACTATATAGTTTTTTTGTTAACTAAAATTTCAACATAGGACATCTCAGTAGGTACAGTAACTGCTGTTTTTTTGTGGGTTTTTTTTTAAGATTTATTTATGCATACAAGAGCTGGGGTACGGGCCAGAGGTGGAGGCAGGGTGCAGAGACAGTGGGAAGTAGAATAGGTAGATCCACTAAAATACATTACTGAGGGAGCAGCAGGCAGGTCAGGAGAGGTCTGCTGAACCATGTGGGTCAGCTCCCTGGCCAGGGATGGAACTGTACTGCAATGCCAGCCATTAGCTTCATAATGCTAAGACTTAACCCCTTGCACCACCAGGGAGGCCCAGCTACTGTTCTTACTGAATCCCTCCCAGTTAATAACTTGTCTTCCTGGTTTTAGGATACAAGCTTATACAAATTTTAACTGTTCACTTAGCTATATTAAGCCAACATTAAAAAAATAAATTGCAAAAGTGAATTCCTCATGAACTGAGAGAAACTATGAATCTTTTTGGTTATTAAGTATAATTGTTGCCTTTCCTTGAATCCTTAAAAAGCTAGGTTTAAAATGTTTACTGGCAATGAGAGTGCTAAAAGAGTGATACTAAGTTGAATGACCTTTGTTCTCCAAGTACACTCTTATTAGAATACAGCTATCCCCAGCACATAAATATTAAAGGCAACACAGGGGCCTCCCCAGTGGCACAGCGGTTGAGCGCAGGGTTGCGAAGTTGGCCGCAGCCTCTGCAGCGCCGGTTCGATCCCCGTCTGCTCCCCGGCCACCAGAGGAGGGTCCCACATGGTGTGCAGACCTCTCCTTCCGTCCGCTGCTCCCCTCAGCAGTGTACTTCGGTCCTTCTGCCTGCTCTGCTCCCCGCTCTGGCTCTGGTGAATTCTCTCACCCTCCCACGCTTCTGACTGTACCCAGTGCTTGTATAAATAAATAAATCTTAAAAAAAAAAAAAGAATATCATTAAAAAAAATAATAAAAAAATAAAGGCAACACAGGCAGTTAATTTGAGATAAAGGGAAGCACAATGGGTTTTAGGGTGCCTTATCAGAAAATTGGAGAGGCACACACTATAAGGTAAATGAAGTACCAAATGAGTGCTTCAGGAGCTGGGATGGAATTCTTTGATTAGGGAAGATTACATGAATAAACTAGGTCTTGAAAGATACCTAGAATGTTAAGACATTGATCATTGACATTTTAAAAAGGAGGAAACTGGGCCTCCCCAGTGGCGCAGCGTTTGAGCGCTGGGTTGCGAAGCTGCCCGCTGCCTCTGCAGTGCCGGTTCAATCCCCAGCTGCTCTCCGGCCACCGGAGGAGGGTCCCGCATGGCTCGCAGACCTCTCCTGCCGCCCGCTGCTCCCCTCAGCAGTGTACTTAGGTCCTTCTGCCTGGTCTGCTCCCTGCTCTGGCTCTGGTGAATTCTCTCACCCTCCCGCCTTTCTGACTGTACCCAGTGCTTGTATATATAAATAATAAAATAAATCTTTAAAAAAATAAAAAGGAAACTGATCAGATGAAAGAGGTGGGTCCTACTCTGGAAGTACACCCTGCCAAAACCATGCTAGCACAAGTTTTTAAAGGCTATATCAATGAGCTTTAATCTGAAAGGAAGGGCATGATAGGAATGTCAACATTCACAAAAAATTCCATTCAGGACATCTTGGGTTACAGGAAGTCCACCATGCCCTAGTCTCAAATCCATTTATACAAAAAGAGCCAGTAATAGCAATAAAACAAAAGTACCTACCTCATTTCTTTTATCTTACCTACATATTTTGTAGTGATAGGTATGACTGCTCTGAGGTTTCACTACCTTTAATAAAAAAAAGGAAGCAAGTGCATACTGATTGAACTTTACCTTCTATGATACATTTCTCTCTAAAGAATCAACTAATCTGATCTTGGTGTTCTCCGGGGTTTTATTCACCTTCAAATTATTAACTCTTCCAAGACGGCTTTATGCTTTCTTCATATAAGTTATGTAGCTCCTGCCTCTCACCTAAGTTCTATGCCTATGTTTTAGACTCCCTTTACCCTGTCCATATACAGCCCAAACTATTACTCATCACCATACACCCACCCCACCTGCATTCTCTCTAGCATCGTCTAGTTTCCTACATAATCGAAGTAAGGTTAGGCTTCTTGATAACCACCTTCCCACAGGCAACCTGTTAGCCAGTTTTGTTTAAATTGGGTCCATTTTTCTCCCTTGACTCCATCTTCATGCCTTGTGCCTGTCTCCCAGTTCATCCTCCATGATCCCAGAATTCTTTCATAAACAAGCCTTCTCCCCCAAGGCTTTGATTTTTAACATTTTCCCAGGCCATAGTCTCTGCAAGGTTAAAAAGGTCCTTCAGTAGCTACAACCTAATTTTACGACTTTTTATCCAGTCATTCATTCAGTGAATCTTGTCTTTGAACCTATTTTCCAGTCTCCAGCTACCTTTAACCACCTCTGTGTTGACATTGTCCCATGTAGAATGCTTCCCCTCTTAAACTCTTCACCTTCAGTCAGTTTAAATACCATTTTCTCTGCCCTCTTAAGCCACTCCAAGAAATATTTCATCTTCCTTGATTTCATAACATTAAGTATATAATTATTTTAGCTCTTTTTAACAGTTGTAATTGTCTTCATACTGCACCTTGGGCTGAACTTCCTGAGGCCATATTCATTTTATGTACCCAAAACTTAACAGAGGGCCTAACACAGCAGATATTAAAAAAGGAAATGATGTTTGCTTTCAACGCTGATAAAAAATGGTTTATCTCCAACTAGACAAAGCCCTAAGATCTTATATCTTAGTGAATTTCAGGTGTGTATCAGTTTGATTGATGAACATCTGGATGTTCCATAGTATCTCCATTTGTCTAAAACAGCTTGTGATCACTTTAACAAACTCCCATTACTTTATAGTCATGTATACACAGTCACTTTATTCCTCTCCCTCATTCTGCCATCATCTCCAGGTCTTAACAATTGTGTATCCTACACACTTGTCCTTTTCATTCCAGCCCTCATTTAAATCATCAGGTCTTCTCCAACCACCCTCCACAAATGAGTACAATATACTCTATTTTCCTTACCCTGTTTTTTTTTGTTTTCATAGCTTTCATTTACCGCCCAGTAATGGCTTTCTATCTCCCCTACCTCTTAGATTCTAAACACTATATGATTATATACTGCAGATTCATTCACCAATGGTGTAGTCCCAGAAAAATCCCTGGAACATAGTAAAGTAAGCAAATAATTTTTTAGTGCATGAATCTAAAACTATCTTTACCACACAAATGTATGAGAAAGGATATCATTAGACTTTTAGTGTTGAACTGAATGTATATACACAAGTTGATTTTTAAGTGATTTCACCTGAAACAATGTTATAACTGTTACTTCAATTTAAAAATAAGATTATTGCTCATCAAAAATTAATAAAACCATCTTTATCTTCAGCATGATCTAGCTATAAAGATGCCTATTTGATATCATCACTCCATGTATTAAAAATACCTTCAATCCACCCCTATTAAAACAGTTCCTTAACATGACATTTACATGGTTATGTCACCTGTGCTTCCATCTTAATCTCTTATTCTTACACTCTGCTTGTCCCCAAAATATAATGAGAATTTACACATAACTTCTGTTTACTCAGTCTCCTCTGAAGGCCCTCATAACTTCCCACACCTGTTTTGCTAATCAAGTATTTTATGAAAATGCACTTTTAAGAGAATACAATTTAAATGCTGATAGTATTACAAAATGGTGATCTGGCAGAAAAAAAATTCCCTACCCTTTTAAACCAATATTCATGATCATGGAAGTAATCCTTAGACTGGAAGGGGCATTACAGATCATCTAAGGATTGCCTCCCTATTTTATAAATGGTACTTCAAATACATGTCATCTGAATTCTGACTTAAGCTCTGCCACTGAACTATTGACATGATTTTGAGCCAATTATAGAGGCTTTATGGACCTCATTTAAAGTTAGAAAGTAGTCTGATCTCTGGAGTTTATCTTCTATTTCAAACTAAAACTTGTGCTAGTAAATTTGAAATATTCTTGCTAGAATGAACCATTTGATAGCCACTGTAGGCTATTACTGATAAGTCATTTTGAATATTATTAAAAATACGAAACTCATGTTTCATTTTCTTCAAAAAAAATATTTTGAAACAATATTAGTGGGTAAGTCTTTCATAGTCTCTTAAGATCTTAATGTGATTTTGCTATTTTGTTGTCCAATTGTTATATATACTTATTAATTGTAAGTACCGAAACTTATTTTAAAGTCAGTGTTATTTTCTGTTAAGTTTGTTATCAATACTATACCATAACAATGTTAAATACAAGATGGTATACCTCATGAAAGTTTTCTGCTTCTCGCTCTTTAATTTCAAGGTCAATTGCTCTCCTCCTTGCTCGCTCTTCTTCTACCTTTTTCTGGATTTCTTTTTCAGACAATTGACCAATTTTTTCAAACTTGCTTCTTAAGTTTTTAGCTTGAATAGACCCACTCCTTTTCAATTTGATTAATTCTTCATATTCCTTGCTCAGCTCAAAGGTTTCATTTTCTTCTTCTTCCTTCAAAAAAATAAAAATTTATATACTAACTACCATGTAATTAATTTGTACAATAAACCATTCAGTGTCTACCATTTTCTTACTTAAAGCCAAAAATAAAGCTTAACCGCCCCAAATACAATGCCAAAATTTACTAATTAGAAGCAATGCTATACATTTCAGAGTTTACATAATATCTTATTCCTTTTAAAATATTTCATTACAGAATATGGCTCAAAACCTCATTTAACATTCCATTGTAAGGGCCTCCCTGGTGGGACAAGGGTTAAGATGCAGCACTGTGAAGCTACACACACACACACACACAAACACACGTGTGCGCGTGCGCGCGCACACGAGGGAGGTGACCCCATGGTGCAACAGACTTCTCCTGTCTCCCCTGCTGCTCCCCTCAGCAATGTATTTCAGTAGATCTGCCCATTCTGCTCCCCTCTCTGTCTCTGGTGAATCCTCTCATTCCCCGCATCCTTGGCCTGCACCCCAGCTCTTGTATGCATAAATAAATAAATCTTAAAAAAAAATTCCATTATAACCTAAAACTAAAATATGCATGCGAAGATTAGGTCTTATGAGGAATTAAAAGATTTTTGTTTAAGAGACAGTAAAGGAATATGGTTAAGAGTCAAATATAAGTTCTAGTTCTAACAGTGTATGACCTTTTGCCCACTTTTGCCACTAGAATGATTTCTTCATCTCTGAATAGAGCCAGAATATCTAAAATTCCTCTTGTCTTCGATTTCATAGTCTAATAAATATCAGTACTCAAGCCAACTGAATTCAACATTTCTGCTGATACAGTTTCAGGATATATATCCTGTGTTCTCAAGAAGGACTTCCCTAATGGCACAAGGGGTTAAGCACCACACTATGAAGATATCCGCAGCTACTGCAGCAAGAGTTCGATCCCCAGCCAGGGAGGTGACCCACATGGTACAGCAGACCTCTCCTGTCTCGCCTGCTGCTCCCTCAGCAGTGTATTTCAGTGGCTCTGCCTGTTCTGCTCCCCACTCTGACTCTGGTGAATTCTCTCACCCCCACCCCCGCACCTCTGGCCTACATCCCAGCTCTTGTGTGCATAAATAAATAAATCTTAAAAAGAAAAAAAAAAAGAAGTTGGCAAGAAGCCCCCACCAAGTCACCTGCCAAACATGCCATGTCACTGCCAGTCCAAGGGACAGTCACTGTCCGCCTCACCTCATGTCAAGGTGGGCTGCAACCCAGTCATATTGCTGCACATGTTAAAGGACAAAGGAAATGGTAGAATTTCTTCCTCCCTATTTCTTCCCCTTCTTCATATGCATTGGCCATCCAGACAAAGGAGGGTGGCAGAGTCCAGGACTGGGAAAAAGGGCCTTTGGGCATCAAGAACTAGGAAGAGGGCTACAGAGAACCTATTCTGGGAAGCCAGGGAGGCAGCAGGAGGTATGATTGAGGTAAGATTCTAATATTCTAGCACACAGTCTGTTGCTCAATCAGCTTTCAATTATAACAAACTAATTCAAGACAAAATTATTGAAAATTTCAAGATGGCAAACTCATAGCATTAAAAACTAAGTGTGGCCCTTCTGAGCATGGGGTCTTATGAGGGTATGAATTGCATGCCCATAAAACTGTTCCTGTATGATCTACAGGGTTGAGTATTTTTTGGGGAGTCAATCAAGAGGGGGAAGAATCAGGGTCTAGGCCAGAGTCATGGGGGTGAAAGAATTCACCAGGACAGAGTAAAGAACAGGAAAGATTTATTGAAATAAACTAAGAGAAACAGCAGGTAAGATCGGAGAGGTCTGCTATATGCTACAGGATCTAGTACTGAAATGAATTATATATATTTATACAGTATGTAGCATTATATATAATTTCATTTTACATGTAATCATATATAATTATGTAATTATATATTATGTGTATTATATCTAATCATTTCAATACTATAGAAATCACATTAAAATATTTAAAAGCATCAAAGTTCTATCTTAGATTAATTTAGCACAATAAAATGATTCGAATACTTGCAAAATTAAATCTTACTACTATTCACTATACACCTGTAGTGTATCTTATTTTTATTTTTTTATTTTTTTTTTAATTTTTTTTTTTATAGAGGCGTTTTATTTTTATTTGTTTGTTTGTTTTGTTTTTGTTTATACATGCACTGGGTACAGTCAGAAGCGCAGGAGGGTGAGAGAATTCACCAGAGCCAGAGCAGGGAGCAGAGCAGGCAGAAGGACCGAAGTACACTGCTGAGTGGAGCAGCGGGCGGCAGGAGAGGTCTGCGCACCATGTGGGACCCTCCTCTGGTGGCCGGGGAGCAGCCGGGGATCGAACTGGCGCCGCAGAGGCCGCGGGCAGCTTCGCAACCCAGTGCTCAACCGCTGCGCCACTGGGGAGGCCCTGTAGTGTATCTTATTTTGATTAAATTTGTCATTTTGATTCTGTTTGATTCGAGGAATATAAGAATAAATGGGTATATTAAATACTCTATAACAATAATTCTCAGTCGCGATGTAATCATACAGTTGTGAGGTATAAAGGAAGAAATATTAACTTAAGGTACTATAGTAATATCTCAGAGACATGCAATTTTATTTACTTATTAAACTGACAAGAAATGAGCAGTATTATAGCATGCTAGCAAGTGTGCACAGCTATGATGCCACTTGTACCAGGTACCCCTCACAGGAATATATTGAGTGTCCTAATGTGAATAATACTTAGAAAGTTACTGCAAGGTACTATGTGTAAAATACTTAGACTTAAATATTTGTGAACTATAAATGGATATTTCTTAAAAATCTTACCTCTCCCATTTCTTGTCTTAGTTGTTCAAATTCCTGTTTTTCCATCTCTAGCTTATGCTTCCTTTCCTCCTCTGTTCGTCGTTTTTCTTCTTCCATTTTTTGTTTTAATAATTCTTCGAAATTAATTTCCAGTTTTCCCGGTGTCAGAGATTCTTGAGAGATTGCTTTATACATCTCTGGGGTGTCATCATCATCTACCACCTATTTAAAATATTTCTTTTATCACTCTTGCCAGAATTAGACATACTAAAGGGGAGTATTTCTTGTAGAAACTGTGATTTCTTGCATAGAAAGGTTTTACCTTGAATTAAATACAGGAGGCAAATTTTCTTCTAAAAACTCATAAAACAATAAACAAGGAAGGAATTAGAAAATGTAAAACTAAAGTGTTAATTACAAAGCAGATGATCACCATCTAGTCTCAATTCCAATGAACATAAAGAAATACTCTATACTGTGAGTAATCTGAATTAGATGTTAAGATTTTCTAATATTAAAGGATAATTTTTGGGCCTCCCGGGTGGCGCAGCGGTTGAGTGCTGGGTTGTGAAGCTGCCTGCAGCCTCTGCAGTGCTGGTTCTATTCCCGGCTGCTCCCCGGCCACTGGCAGAGGGTCCCACGTGGTGCACAGACCTCTCCTGCCGCCTCCTGCTCCCCTCAGCAGTGTACTTTCTGCCTGCTCTGCTCCCCGCTCTGGCTCTGGTGAATTCTCTCACCATCCCGCGCTTTTGACTGTACCCAGTGCTTGTATAAATAAATAAATAAATCTAAAATAATAAAAATAAAATAAAATAAAGGATAATTTGTTTTGTTTTGTTTTGTTTTTGTGGGCCCCTAGCCAGCGGCCAGGGAATGAACCGGCACTCAGGCAGCCTCGCAGTCCAGCGCCACCTTGAGGGATAATTTTTAATTGGATAAAATGAATCATCATTTTGATCATTAAATCGTGGTTTTGTCTGAATGAATTAGATAACCCATCATCATCCCTTCATAATCAGGCACATAGCACTCTTAATGTGATTATTTTATTGTACTGATTTACTTACTATCATGGTAATTAAGAGTAGATAATACTACTAATTTAGAGCTATCAGGTATAATTTTAAACACTTCAGATGTGTTAACAGTAGGTATTATTAATCTCCCCATTTTATAACTAACGAAACTGAGCACTGATAAGAAACTTGTCCAAAGCAACACAAATACTGAGTGACAAAGCTCAGATTCAGAACTTTGAAAGTCTTCCTAACAGATAAACAAATAGTGGGTCTCCCCTGGTGACTCAGGCAGTTGAGTGTAGCACTGTGAAGCTGTCTGCAGCCTCTGCAGCGCAGGTTTGATCCTGGCCAGCCAGACAAGAATCGCACATGGCGCAGCAGACCTCTCCTGTCTCGCCTGCTTCTCCTCTCAGCAGAGTGTTTCAGTCAGTCTGCCTGTTCTGTTCCCCACTCTGTCTCTGGTGAATCCTCTCACCCTCCCAAACGTCTGATCTGTGCCCCCAAAAAATAAACAGAGTGATACAGACAACATTTTCACAATTTCATGAGTTACACATTTGATTGCCATTGAGTTGTGACCTTGGGCACGTTACCTAACCTGTCTAAGTCTGAGTTTCCTTATCTGGGACAATCTTTGTAGAGTTCTCATGAGAGTTAAATAAAATTTGGAAATACGTTGTACTGTGCCTTATGTCATGGGAAGCTCTCAAAAGGTAGTTTCATTATTTCATTGTCATTCCTTTTATATAGGCAATCTCTAAATTCCAAATAGAAATTCTGCTTTAAAATCATTGGGATGGACCTCCCTAGTGACGCAGTTGGTTGAGTGCACTGTGAAGCTGTCTGCAGCCTCTGCTGTGTGAGTTCAATCCCAGCCGGCTGGCGAGATACCCACATGGCCCAGCAGACCTCTCCTGTCTCACCCGCTGCTCCCCTCAGCAATGTATTTCAGCCAATCTGCCTGTTCTGTTCCCTACTCTGTCTCTGGTGATCCTCTCACTCTACCACACATCTCGCCTGTACCCCAGTTCTTGTATGCATGAATAAATAAATCTTTAAAAAAATAAAAATAAAATCATTGGGACACATTTCACCATGAAAAACAATTATTTATATCTGTTTTTCTATACCCTGCAGATATATACATAAATCTGTGGCTTGAATTGTCACCCTATGACTGAAATACGCATATTTCAGAATATGTATACTCTAAGAAAAAGAACAAAGGATAATTATTTGATCCAAGTTTTATATATGACAGACTTTACCACAGAACCAGTTCAACTCAATATTTGCCAAAAAAAATTGTAATATATGAGTTAACTGAGCATTATACGTGAAATTATGATACTTGACCCCAGCTGAGCATATAACATACGTGAAGGGGGAAAAATTCACTGTTTTTTCATGATATAGAAATGTCTCCAGAAAGTTAGAGTTTTGTTATGAGTTAGTTTTCCTTCCCTAAACTTTTTCCACTAGTGAATCGTGGTAAATGGACAGACAGAACACGTCTCTGGATATTGTCAGAAAAGACTTCCCAGAAGAAATAGAATGTGTAAATACGAATAGCACAGCTTAAGGACAGAATGGAAATGTCTCACACAGCATTTATCAAAGTCAAGAGAAGAGACCATAGCCTTTTGAAGAAATGGAAAGAAATTTCCTATGTCTAGAACAAAATGACAGAAAGAATCAAGAAATGAAAGTGAAGAAAAGCACTAGGGCAAAAATCATCTTAAAAATGTTTGAATTTTGGGGGCCTCCCTGGTGGCACAAAGTGTTAAGTCTCAGCACTATGAAGCAATCCGCAGCCACTGCAGCTTGAGTTTGATCTGGCCAGGGAGCTACCCACATGGCACAGCAGACCTCTCACCATGGCTCCCCTCAGCAGTGTATTTCAGTAGATCTGTATGTTCTGCTCCCCACTCTGTCTCTGGTGAATCCTCTCATCACTCCCCCCCACCACCCCCGCCGGCCTACATGCCAGCTCTTGTATGCATAAATAAATAAAATAAATCTTTTAAAAAATTTTAATTTTTGCTTAAGGGAAATAGTAGCATATCACATTAACTCTTTTTTTTTTCCCTTTGTTTTCTTTAAGAAAGATCACTCCTGGCTTACAGGGGAGAATGGACTATAAGCAAAAAGCAAGTTAATCAGAAGTTGGCCCAAGATGAGGGATAACAGTGACCTAGATTATTGTAGTGGCACTGGGAAATGGGGGGAAACTGATCAGTTTTTAGAGTGATTTAGAAAGATAAATACATGAGATAAAGAATGACAGAGTGTTTGTGGGCATGAGAGAGAAGGTGAAAGTGTTCAGGCTCCCAGGTTCCTGATTTGTGCATCTGAGTGAGTAATGACGTCAAACACTTGGCTTTCTGTGTTCATGCAGACATAGGAAGAAAACCAGGTCATGAAATCACTGCAGTCAAGCAAAATATTTGAAGGGATGCAGTCTTCACATGTAATTCCAACTTGTTGAAAACAATGTCACATACCTCTACATTTTACAAGGTATGGACAGTTAAACCAAACTGTAACAGTTGTACCAAAATGGTGTAGTTAGTATAACACTATGACAGAGTTAGTTTACTATCAATATCCAGAACTGATGGATGAGCATTTTGCAGAGTTAGGTAATTGTGATTAAATGGCTTTGGTCATTTAATATATACTAGATGGAATGGAAACTAAAATGAAAGAAGGAAAGGTAGGAGGAAATGGAAAGGGAGTGGAGAGAGGAAAGGTAGGGATAGGAAACTCCTATGTCTCTTCCTTAATACTTAGTTCTGGAAAATATCCATTCCTAAAAAGAAGGAAGACAATATTCAGTCTTCTATACCAATAGTAGTAATTTAGTCAGAAACTTCTCAACACTACATTGAAGCGATCACCTTTTACTGGTTATGCCATGGGAGACTTAAAAGATTTTATTTTGGGGCCTCCCCGGTGGCGCAGCGGTTGAGCGCTGGGTTGCGAAGCTGCCGGCAGCCTCTGCGGCGCCGGTTCGATCCCCAGCTGCTCCCCGGCCACCGGAGGGGGGTCCCACATGGTGTGCAGACCTCTCCTGCGGCCCGCTGCTCCCCTCAGCAGTGTACTTCAGTCCTTCTGCCTGCTCTGCTCCCCGCTCTGGCTCTGGTGAATTCTCTCACCCTCCCGCACTTCTGACTGTACCCAGTGCATGTATAAACAAAGACCAAATAAATAAATGAACAAACATGCCTCTATTAAAAAAAAAAAAAAAAAGATTTTATTTTGGGGGCCTCCCCTGGTGACACAGACGGTTGAGCGCTGCACTGTGAGGCTGTCCACAGCCTCTGCAGTGCCGGTTCGATCCTGGCCTACCAGCGAGGGTCCCAAATGGCTCAGCAGACCTCTCCTGTCTCGCCCGCTGCTCCCCTCAGCAGTGTATTTCATCAGTCTGCCTGTTCTGTTCCCCGCTCTGTTTCTGGTGAATCCTCTCACCCTCCCGCACATTTGGCCTGTACCCCCTGTTCTTGTATAAATAAATAAATTTAAAAAAAAAAGATTTTATTTTTGCGTAGAAGAACTGGGGTGCAGGCCAGAGAGGTGTGGGAGGGAATAAGAAGATTCACCATAAACAGAGAGGAGAGTAGAACAGACAGATCTACTGAGACACTTCTGAGGGGAGCAGCAGGCGCGACAGGAGAGATCTGCCGCGCAATGTGGGTAGCTCCCTGGCCAGGCATGGTACTCAGGCTGTTGCAGTGGTAGCACTGAGACTTAAGCTCTAGGACACCAGGATGGCCCTATAAGAGACTTTAAAACCTATTTGCCACCCCTACTGTTGGCACAAATTCCCAAAATAAAGGGTATTGCCCAAATTTTAATTATATCCATTAACGTAGCCAAAAAGCTGAATCCTAATGACATTATTCAGTTACCCTTTTATCTTACCATGCTCTTCCTTGCTTCAGCAAATGCCTTCTTTTCTTCTTCTATTCTTCTTCTGGCCTCTTCTTCTGCTTTTCTTTTTTCATCTTCTCTTCTTTGTCTTTCTATTTCTTCAAAACTGAGCTTGAGTTTACCAGGGCGGTATGCTTTAAAAACTTTTTCTGTGTCTTGATTTTCCTCGTCTTCATTTACCTAACCAAGGAACAACTCATTACCAAGAACTGAGAGTCATCAAAGACAGGAATGAATGAACAATCAAATGACACAGAATTATCCATCTTACATGGGACTGTTTCTATGCTTTTAATATACCTGACCAAAACCCTTTCCTTTATAATGTCTTATATAGTAAAATATTCAAATTTGGAGCAATTCCCAATAAAGATGTACTCAAAACTTCTCAAGCCAAATGTTTAAATAGATAAGATGGAGTGTGGTCATTTAAGAGTTCTATTATACAGTAACTCCTAGAACAAGGACCTCCCCGGTTGTGCAGCTGGTTGAGTGCAGCACTGTGAAGTTTTTCGCAGTCTCCACAGTGCCAGTTTGATTCCCGCCAGGCCGGAGAGATTCCCACATGGTGCGACAGACCTCTTCTGTCTTGCCTGCTGCTCCCCTCAGCAGTGTATTTCAGTAGATCTGTTCTACTCCCCGCTCTTTCTCTGGTGGATTCTCTCACCTTCCTGCCTCTGGCCCATATCCTAGTGCTTATATAAATAAATAAATCTTAAAAAAAAAAAGACATTAGCTTTGATTAAAAAAAACAACTCCCAGAACAAGCATAAGCTATGTGTGTCTACTTAAAGTGAGACCCAAGTGTACCTACAAAGTCATTGGTAGTAAAATAAAGTTCTCATTTTGAACAAATGGTGGTTAGCAGAGGAAAAGGGATTTGTAGTGAGTGAGTAAATTGTGTAAAAAGGGGTCAATTATATGGTAATAAATGAAATTAGACTTTTGGTGGTGACGAGGATGTAGTGTATACAGATATCAAAACAGAATACCGTACATAAAACCTATATAATGTTACAAAGCAGTGTTACCTCAAAGAAATTAAAAACTAAAATTCTCATTTTGTACTTTTCATAGATTTTTTTACTACTATGCTGCTTTTTATAGTAACCAGATAAAAGATTGTTATCTGAAGTTATTTTATAGAAAATTCAAATTTTTATTATTTGATTTAAATTATGATTTAATACGAAAAAATTAAAACTCATCAAAATTTATTATTTTTTTAATTTTTAATTTTTTATTTATTTATACAAGCACTGGGTACAGTCAGAAGCGTGGGAGGGTGAGAGAATTCACCAGAGCCAGAGGGGAAAGCAGAGCAGGCAGACTGACAAAGTACACTACTGAGGGGAGCAGTGGGTGGCAGGAGAGGTCTGCACGCCATGTGGGACCCTCGCCCGGTGGCCGGGGATCAAACCAGCGCTGCAGATGCTGCGGGCAGCTTCACAGCCCAGCCCTCAACCGCTGCAGCACCAGGGAGGCCCCCAAATTTATTTTTTGATTACTTAATGATACTTCTATTTCTTTCAATGAATTGACCATTAGTGATATCTAAAATGTATAGGTAATTATGCCGCAAAGTAGTATCATTTTCAAACAACAGTCTATGAAATTAAAATTTTGGAAATATAGTCCTTAGGATATCATCAACGAAACTTGATAAGAAATTCTGAAAGTTTTAAAATATTATAGGTGTTCCATTTTTAAATTCTTATTATGAGATTTGGAATCAGTGTTTTGTTATTTCACTCTTATTTTTATTAATATATCTAATCATCATAATGATAAACTTTTAAAACATTATATGCCAGACACATTTTAAGTGCTTTCTATGTATTAACTCATTTTAAGATTTGAAAGTAAGCACAATTTTTTTCCCATTTTAAAAAATAAGGAAGTTAAGACATAGCAAAGTTAAATAAGTTGCTCATGGTCACATACTTAATAAATGGCAGCAATCTAAATCCAGGCAGTCTGGTTCTAAAATTAAGGATCTTAACCACTCACACACATACACACACACACACACTCTCTCTCTCTCTCTCTCTTTCTCTCTCTCTCTCTCTCTCTCTCTCTCCCCCCTATGTGCTTAATTGCATATTCCATAGAAAACTTATTTAAATATCTTCAAACATTTGAAGGACTGGACTGGAACTAAGTATACTTATAATTAGATTTGAAAGTATGCTGCACATCTAACAGGTGATGAGAAACCAGATTCACATAATATTTTGGATACTTTCAACAATTAAAAAAATTAAAAAGTTAAAGCAGAATATATAAATACTTCCAAATCAGATCCCTTTATATAGAAACTTCTTGACTTTATAGGAATGAACTTTACCTAAAGCCAATTACCTTCCCTAGTATTAAACATTTTATTCATAACATTTATGTTATACATAATCATATCATACATATTATAATATGATATATGATATGATAATCACATATAACATTTGATGTGCTATATGACATACATAATTATATATAATATTATATACCATATATATAATATGGTATATAAATAATTTACATGTTTGTTTTACCATTTGCCGCCTTGCTTCTTCAAAGGCACGCTTCTCTTCTTCTAAACGTTGTCTTGCTTCCTCTTCAGCTTGCTTCCTTCGGTTTTCTTGTCTCTGTCTTTCCAATTCTTCAAAAGTTAGCTTCAATTTTCCAGGAGAAAGGGACTCTTTTTTTGCCTCACTTTCCAGTTCATCATCCTAAGAAATCATTATGAAAACCAATCACTTAAGTGAAAGTGCTGTTAATGAACTTAACTGCTTTGATTTGTTTCTTAAAAAAAAATTTACCATAACTAATGAAAGACACTTTGCCTCCTTGAGTGATCTTCGTTCTTCTTCATATCTTATTCTCTTATCTTCTTCATACTTAATCCTTTCTTTTTCTTCTCGTTCTTTTTCTAGATCCTCAAAATTCTTTATTTTTCCAGACGCCTTGTGTGACTTGACAGGTACAACTGTTACAAGTAACGAATCATCTCCTTCCTAATTTATAAAATAGATAATTAGTTATTTCTTCCTAATCAAAATTTAAGTTCTACAGGACTTTACCTCCATCATTGGTGAACTTCATTACATTGTCATCAATGTTATAAAAGATAAAAAATGTACATTTTTTTTACAGGTCACTATTTGATATCTTCTCTGCATTCATTGTACATTGTGAGTTAATTTTTAAAAAATCCACTGCTGACAAAGTCCAAGAGCATCTTACTTCCTAGAAGATGATATTAATACAGCTGTTTGGATAAAACTGCATAACATTTTCTAAAAATACCTGTGCAATAATCTCATCAAAGGTGATGTACATGTGAGTGTATCCTAAATCAATTTGATGGTAGATGGATTCAGTTTAAACACACAAAATAGTTTTTCCATTTGATTTTTAAATACTAGTTAAAACTAATATTTAACGAAGAAAAAAAAAAAACACCAGAGTACTTCCTAGCAATCTAGAAAGCGTTTATATTATAGACAAAACTCTGGTATTTGATCCTATTAAAATATTCTTAAGTTTGTTGTTTTTTAAATTCTTTAGAATTCTACTGCATAATCTAATGTTGCCTCTCAGCCTTTTCAAAAATGAAGTTATAATATATAACACATGCTCGTAACATAAAATCCCTTCCAATTCACATGGCTATAGTTTTAGGCATACCATCAAATTGATTGATTTTTAACTTTCTCTGTTAGATAGAAAGGATAACTGAAGTTTTTGTGGTTGTCCAACATTCCTTCATAGTAATGGATACTGCACTCTCTACCAGACGTAATAACCAAAACAAACTATAGGAACTCTGAGTAAAGAAGACAAGATGAATGTTAGCTTTCAATAATCTAAGTTAGCAACTGCTCAAGAAATACATAGTCTTGGCAGAGTATCTCAAAATGAGACTTTTCTCTCTCATTTAATCATGAAAGCAAAATCATACTTTAAAAAAAAACACTAAACTATAGTGTTTGAGAGTGCAAAAGTATGATCTTGCTTTGCAAAATATTTTTATGCTTTTTGTTATTTGTAATAAAAAGAAGTAAAACCTTTAATTTTTTTCATTAAAAATTATTTGTGAATCAGATAATTTTATGTGAATGTTTCATTAAAGGAAATGCCATTTACCTCTGATGCTGATTCAGTCCCCGTATTGTTTATGTCCTCAATCTATTGAATGAGAATTTCATATCATTACATTACATTGAATTTTTGCTTTTTGCCTTTAAACATACAAGTGAAAATTAATTTAGCTGGTGAATTTATAATTTTGGAAATATTTTTATGTTGCTCCAAATTAATCTATTATATCCTTTATTAAATGCAGAGTCAATAAAAATATTCGTTTTTGCCTTTTGTCATCCATATCAATAGCTAGGGAATAACATATGAAGAAAAAATTAAAGTGAAACCTACCTTTGTAAATCTGAAATTTGAATAATGAACAAGACTCATTACCTAGCTGTGAGCTTAGAAACAATTATTAAATTAGTGATTTAACTTGAGATACAAAAACATTTCTCTATTCTCTGAATCTGCTCCAGCAAAAGGAAAATCAGCAATCAAATAATCATATGGTTATAATTTACAATATAAATATATGGCAAAAATAGAACAACAAAGTGCAGTGAGAGGTACAGACTTCCAGGTGGATAGTTCAGAGAAGAAAATAGTTCTGTAATCATAATTGTTTGTAATTTGACCAGCTTTAAATAGGGAAGATTCTTTTTAAAAAAGGGAGCTCAATTTGGCTACTACTCATAAGAAACATTAGGTTGCCTTGAGAGGTAGGATGATAATGTATTTAACAAACCAAGAAGATCATGATTCAAACAATGTAATGTTTGAGATATCAGAAAAAGGAAACATAAGTAATGGAAAAATGGGAAACATTAAAATTAAAATTTCAGATTGATTACTGTTTTCATTTGATTTTTAACACCAGTGGAAGAGTCTAGAAGTAGTTTGTTCCAAATTCAGTGTAAGAGAATTTTATTGTACTGAGGTGAGGTTCATGCTCAGACCTGGGTTGACTAAGTTCCTGATCTCTCATCATCCCACTTTTCTTTATTCTCTGTCAAAGAAGCAATAATACATTTTATTAATATACCAAACTTCTTAAAAAATAAATTATTCTGAACAAATAATTTATCAAACTATATGTTTTGTAGTTATCATTAAGTTTTGTTCAGAATAATTTGCTTTGCTATAGAATTATTATACTGACTTACTGTGTAAATGGTGAGGGTTTTACTGAAAGAAGTACTAAGAAAATTTTGAATGAATTTATAATAAAATAATTACAAAATTATTTCCCTTCAAAAGAATGCTGACAATTCTTCTACAAATCATGTTACTCTCTCAATAAAAAGTTCTAGAAGATATGGTGAGAAGAAAGAAAAGACATTAAAAGAATAGGGAAGAGAAATTCTAAATATCTTAACCCCAAATTTCCTTTTCTTGCTGCTACAACCTCCTCAGCTTTTTTTATTAACTTACAGTAAGATAATAAACTATATTTTGAGGGCTGTTTCTTTTTAATTTTTTTTATTTAAAATTTCTCTTTTTTTAAGATTTATTCATGCATACAAGAACTGAGGTACAGGCCAGATGCGCAGGAGGGTGAGAAGATTCACCAGTGACAGAGTGGGGAACAGAACAGGCAGAAGGACCGAAGTACACTGCTGAGGGGAGCAGTGGGTGAGGCAGGAGAGGTCTGCTGCGCCATGTGGGTACCTCCCTGGCCAGGGATCAGGCTCATGCTGCAATGGCTGCTGATAGCTTCATAGTGCTGATGCTTAACCCCTTGGACCACCAGGGAGGCCCTCTTTATTATTTTTTTTATTACTTCTTTGCTCAATTTAAACCATTACTAAAGCAAGAAAAAATAGAATAATATTTTTTCAGTGGGTTTCAACAAATAAGAGAAAGATTAATTTGTCTAAGTAGCCATGGTATCCATACATTCACAGAAAACACATTCATTTCATTATAAATGTAAACTTTCAAAATCTGCTTTTGAAGAGCTATTTCTCAACTATATAATTTTTGGAAAGAAAACTACTTTCATTCCTTCTCAAATCAACTTCCTTTTCTCTCCTTTCCTTTCAACATCTCAATCCCTTACCAATAACTTCTCTTTTTGTAAGTGGATAGTTAATGTTGCTGCTCATCAGAGTATCCTCAAAGATAACCAGATTATAATAAAACAAAAACTTCCCCCCAAACTTCAGTGGTTTTTGATCTTAACATCTAACAGGAAAAGTATGCCTACTTGTAATTCATTATTAGCTCCTAGTATCTGTTAATTATCACAGGCACTTATTCATTCACCCTCCTGATTAAGGACTCCCTTCTAAAGCATTTCTAATATGGACTTGTACAAGTGAATTTTTCAAACAAACATGAGACTCTTCTTGGTTACCTAGGACATATATTAATTCTTGTATTCAAAGATAAGGTTTATTAGATTTGAGTGAAAATATATTTAATTAGGTGTTAAGGGGCCTCCCTGGTGGTGCAAGGGGTTAAGTGTCAGCACTATGAAGCGATCAACAGCCACTGCGGCATGAGTTCGATCCCCGGCCAGGGAGGTGACTCACATGGCGCAGCTGACCTCTCCTGTCTCACCAGCTGCTCCCCTCAGCAGTGTATTTCAGCCAATCTGCCTGTCTTGTTCCCCACTCTGTCTCTGGTGAATCTTCTTACCCCCCACATCTCTGTCCTGTACCCCAGTTCTTGTATGCATAAATAAATCAATCTTTAAAAAAATAATCAGGTGTTAAAATTAGACTTTATTTGCAAGATGAAATTACTGCTAATAGCTTATTTTGCTCCATCTACACATTCTTACACTGTAAATGGCCAAAAATTTTATTAACAAGGATAACATGGTATCCTACTCTATAGTATCTAGGGTCATTAAAGAAATAGTTCCTTTTCATAATTATACCTTATTTCCATCTCTCTATCTTATCTCTGCATCATATTCAAATTCACCTCTTCAACACACAAGTTTTTCTTTAAGAAATCTCTGCCCATACATTCATTTCTTAGGGTTATAGTGATGTTAAAGTGTAGTGAGTAATCAGTGCTTTTTGAGAAAATCCCCAAGACTTGAAAGTAGACTAACTCTCTGTGCATAGTGATTATATATATTTGTTGCCAAATACTTACTTAATTTACATTATAAATGTAATTATAATAATAAATGCAATTACATAGCACAATGCAATTTTTATAGTTTACAATATTCACCTATTTTAATTATAGTCCTTTATTTCATTGCAAAATGAATATTAATCTCTGAAGACTGGAGATAGCAGAGACAAAGTATATACTATCATTTCTTCAGATAAGGAGCAAAATAATGTAGGAAATTCCAATTCCTTGCTATAATTCATCTCACATATGTCATTATTTCCTAACACACAGGTGGCTATTTGTGCAATAGCAACAGTAATTTGTACAGTTTGGTTAAATAAATTTTTTTGACTTTCAAGTATGGACCAAGTTTTCCCATCTTTGTCACTTTTTTTAAGAAAGATAGTGGAAACTGGATGAATCATAGCAAATATATTTAAAGCAAATAAAAAGTAGGTAAAAAGTCAACTACAATCTCACAGTAAAAACAGTTATTAAAGAGACAATATACTGTGATAACTATGTTAGGATATTTGGTAAAATATTGATGAGAGGAGGAGAAATTAAAACGATTTCATGACCACTTATCTATACATCTAACATTAAGTATTTAGAGTCCACTTAGTACCAGGCACTGTTCTACGTGCTTTGCATTTATTAACTCATATACACTTAAAAACAGCAGTAGAAGACAAATGCTATTATTATCTCATAAGCTCAGTACTTTTATCTGTTTTGATCTTACTGTAGACCAGGTTGCAATAGATAGACCAGGTAAAAGTTACATGAAATACACAATAACCGTCTTTTGTCATCTCTTCATCTTTATGACTACAGATAATATATAATGTAAAAGAAATTTCAACAATTAAGGAAATTTTTCTGAATTGATCACTTCTTAATATGATATAATTATAACTTAGTATTTCAAGTTATAATAATTAATCCTTTGAGAGATTAGCTTTTTCTGGAAATTAGATCTGATTCTTTTTTTTTTTTTTTTCCTATTTATTTTTTTTAAGATTTATATATTTATTTATTTATACAAGCACTGGGTACAGTCAGAAGCGCGGGAGGGTGAGAGAACTCACCAGAGCCAGAGCGGGGAGCAGAGCAGGCAGAAGGACCGAAGTACACTGCTGAGGGGAGCAGCGGGCGGCAGGAGAGGTCTGCGCGCCATGTGGGACCCTCCTCCGGTGGCCGGGGAGCAGCCGGGGATCGAACCGGCGCCGCAGAGGCTGCGGGCAGCTTCGCAACCCAGCGCTCAACCGCTGCGCCACCGGGGAGGCCCTGATTCTTAAGTATTTTAAAAATACTTGCCAGCTTCTTAGTTTTCATGCTCTCAGTTACAATATATGGGAATTCCAAGTTCATTAGGAGACTACATAAAATCATAGCAATAATATTTTTCTCTCTCCTAATTTGTCCTCTACGGTTATGGAAATCAGTAACAGCTATAAAAAGGAAATGGTTATCACACACTTCTCCCTCTCCTATTACCATCCCCAACTTAAAAAAAAAAAAGTTGATGAACTAGTTTTTAAAAATGTAATTTGACTTGTTTCAAATTCTTAAGTAGGAAGATATCCTAATTATGCCTAAGTATTTGGTAACAATAAACAAGTATTCATTGATTGCTGTTGAAAGACCAACATTTTGCCAGCTGCTTGCCAACAGTTTATGTGTGAAATTGCCTTATAACTTTGTAAAATTTTCTAATATGCCAAGAATGGTAAATAGTGAGAGATGTAAACAGAATGACAAAACGGTAAACAACAAAAGTCATCTCATTATTCAATGTTAAAATATGCACATTCTGTCTTTATTCTTCAAGATATTTGATAATAAATGTGTGCTTAAGATTTTTTCATGTTAGCTGCTTTTTAATATCTTACATTGTATTAAAATATTTTAATTAGGCAGCATACCAATTGGTTTTACTCTGTACAATTGGTTTCTGAAGCAAATGCTAATTTAATATTTAGTGTATACCTGCTGAGCCTTTTTTGCTAATTCACGTTGTATCTTCCTCTTTTCTAACATATCCTGCTCAATTCTGCGTTTTCGTTCTTCCTCTGTTCTCTTCCTTTGTTCCTCTTGTCTTTGTTTCTCCATTTCAGCAAATCTACCTTTAACGGTTCCTAAGAATATATGAAACATGTTTGATATATTGCTGTGTTTCCTTTTTTGCAATTTCATTTGTAATTTACCCCTCAGGTTTCTTACCTGTGAGCTTGGGGACATAGGCCTTTTCTACTTTGGAAGATGCCTCCTCCTCGTCATCAGAAGCAAGCATTTCTTTAATCTATATGGTTAAATAAATTAATATGAACAAGTCCAAATTGTACACTAAATCAGATGTAGAATATGAAATTAATTTGATAATATAGAAAATTATTTTAATTTAGTTAATATGAAATGTGGTTAATATAAGTAATGAAAATGTACATTAAAGGATAAAATGAATATTTACACACAAATAAAATAAAATAAGATAACCTCCTGCTTTCTCCTGTTCCATTCTCTCTCTCTAATATATTGTTCTTTTCTTCTTTGCTTTTCGTCTCTAGATCTTCTTTGATTTCTTTCTTCCCTGGCTTTCTGCATGGCTTCAAACTTATCCTTTACATCACCCTTGCCAAGCTTTGGCACATAGGTTTTTGGGACAGGTTTAGATGAAGAAAGCAGAATCTTCATTAGAAGAAAATAAAGAGAAGAATGTTAAAAAAAAAAGCTAAGAAGAAATTAGGTAAGGATAGATCAGAATAAGCATATCAGAAATACCTATTGAAATAGAAAATAGAAATGAATTGCAACCTTTATTTGTACCATCAAGATTTGATTACTTCCTATAGTTTCAATATGAAAAATGAAATTACTGGAAAATATGAGTAAAAATGTTAATAATATATGAGATAACTTCCATTCACACAAAACTGAAGACTAGTGTAAATAAAAATTGAATGATAGATTCTAATTTAAAGCAGCCTGTTTTTTATTGTCCTAATCCATTATTAAAGATTCTGGTATTACATCTCTTGCCTAAAGGATTCCAAACCAATTTCAATAAATTAGACGAAGTTGAAAACTAAGCAAATTTTTAAAGTTTAAGCCTAATTCACATATTAGGTTCTTGCTTGTTTCTAATTCTAATACCAGCAAGGCTGAAGGTTAATCCTTTATAGCTCTGGTGGACTTTATAGAAACTGGTGGACCCAGTTTCTTGATACAAGCAGTGATTCACATAGTTACTACAGTTTATACTGCCCACCTGGAACTTCCTTAATCAACATTAAAATTACTGTTTATCTGGAACTTTAAGTCAATATTAAAATATGTAAGAAGGCTATTGCCAAGAAGCATAGAAAGAGTAATCTAGCCAAAAATGAGGAAAAATTTCCTCCACTCTAAAACCAGGAAAGCAAGTTATTTTCATCCACTTGAAAATTAAGCTTATCTTTAAAGGATGTTTCAGTAAACAAAAATTCAGTGTCTCAGAACACCAAACACTTTCGCCGAGTGATAATGGCAAATATTTATCATTAGGAAATAACACTAATGATCATCGCTTAATTAACTTGTGGCACACCAGTCTTTATTTTATTATTTATTATGGTGTCACTGGTCATTTAAGGTTTTCTTAAATTTATAATTTGGGGTGTCAGCAACTAAGCGCTTCTTATAACTCTTAATAACTATAGCCAAGAACCAGGAAAACTATGAGAAGTTTTACTGCAGTTACTACAAGTAGCTAAGAAAGTATCTGCACCTGAGAGTGAATCATTGCTTTATCCCAGTAGCGTAGGTTAAATCTGCTTTTCTGATACTGAAAAAGTAACTTCTAAAACTTATCAATATATTACATTCTATTCAAGACCCTAGCTATCACATCCATTTCATTATTATTCAAAATAATCTTGCTTCCTAGATTAAAATCCAAATGAAAATACTAGGCCCAAGACTAGCCAGTAATTTTTCCCTCTTCTTATGTTTTATTATGATTCTATGGACTTCTGACTATGACCTTTCCACTGAAGAACTGATTTTCAGAAATTCTACAGCCGACCTTGTTTCCCCCATTTAAAAAAAAAAAATGAGACTTACCTCTGCCTTTTGGGAAATATCATTCATGTTTGCTCAATGTGGGGGTCAGTCAGATGATTATGAATCTTTGTATATTTTTGCACCTGAAAATATATTTTAGTATTGAGTAAGACTTGTTTCAGGGAGATGATGTAATTTTATTGAGATTAATGAATTGCAAATATTCTTAAAATAATCTAGGAATGATTTTTCTATGTTGTATTGTTATATAATGGTTTGTTTACAATGTTGTAGTGGCAGGAAGCGTACAGTGCAGGATCTCTATGACCCGAGCAGAAGGAGTAAAGGAGGAGCCCTGGAGCCCTCGGTGGCTTTTCAGGCTTTTATTGGGATTTACCAGGTACAGGGCAGGTAGGCGTGTGGGGAGGGAGGGCCAGAGGGCCCGCCCGCCCCACGCTGGCAAGCCTCCCAGCCCCCAGCAAGAGTCACTCTTTCTGGGCTCTCTGGCCTTCTTTCACGTCCTCTTGTGGTTCTTCTGGTGTCTCCATGATGCTGTCCTAATAAGCCCAGTCTCTCAGCCCAGGTGTACCCACTTACACATGCCCACACCCCACTCCAGGCATGCATTCAGGACTGCAAGAATCCATCATCAATCCTAATGGTGGGAGGGCAGAAAAGCCTGATACTTTTTATTTACCCTACAAATGTATATCTATTAAAGTCTTTATGCTCTTAATATAGCAGGCATATAACCACTATATATGGAAAACTAAAAAGGGAATCCAATGTCACTATCATCCTCAAAAAAACTAAATTCTTGAGACATTTTTAGATATCTTAAAATTCTCTATTTGACCTTCACTCAACCCAAAGCTTAGTCGAGCAACCGTTGAAGAATTTCAGTAAGAGGAGGGACATTTAAAAAAAACCCAGAGACTCACTGATGTGTGGCTTAGAGGTGATGTGAAAGGAAAAATGAAGTTGATGGGGACTTCTTTTAAACAAGGCTAAAGGTCTCTCTGAATGTTCAGAGCAACAGGAAGCCTTCTCAAACTACATACAGTGAGAGTGGTCAAGATGGCGAGGATCTAAAACGAGGTATTTGGCACTGGTGCCAGAGACCAGAATTAAGACATGCATGCCAGCAGTCCCTGAAAGATGTAGTCTGAACCAGTGTTATGCCAGCAAGCACAGGGCAGGTTCTCTATCCATCCAGGCAGAGTGATGAAGGAGCATCCCAGAGCCCTCAGTGACTTTTTCAGGTTTTTTTTTTAAAGATTATTTATTTATGCATACAAGAACTGGGAGTAGAGGCCAGAGACGCAGGGGTGAGAGGACTCACCAGAGACAGAGTGGGGAACAGAACAGGCAGACTGACTGAAAACACTGCTGAGGGAAGCAGCGGGTGAGTCAAGAGAGCTCCACCGCGACATGGGGATCGAACTAGTGCTGCAGTGGCCTTGGACAGTTTCACAGGTTACATCTTAACCCCTTGCGCCACCAGGGAAGCCCTACTTTTTCAGATTTTAATGCTTTTTTTGTTTGCGTATTATTTATTTAGGTTTTATTCATATCTATTTTATGTTATTGTTCATTTTTAAACTATGTTTGCTTCCCTCCTGCACTCCCCCACCCCGGAGTCCCCATGGAATTTCCTTCCCCAATGCACCAGTGCACCATCACCACAGTCCCCTGTGCTCCTTGTAGGGTAAAGAAAATATCAGGCTTTTCTGCCCTTCCGCCATCAGGATAGATGATGGATCCTTGTCCTGAATGCATGCCTGATGGTGGGCACCTGGAATAGGGTGTGGGCATAGGTAGATGGGATTCAGCTGAGCTAAGACTGTGTTTTTAAGGGCGGCGTCACGGGGACGCCAGCAGCAGCAGTAGAAGCCGAAGCAGAAGCCGAAAGAGAAGCCGAGAAGCAGCAGAATGAACGCCAGAGAGTCCAGATAGAGTGAAGACTTGCTAGGGGGGCTGGGAGGCCTGCCAGCCTCCCAGCCCCCCCAGCCAGCACCCCTGCCTGCTATATGCCTGGTGAACCCCAATAAAAGACCTGCAAAAAAACCACTGAGGACTCTGACTCCTCCTTTACCTGGTCTGCATGGGATCAGGAAACCTGCTCAGTGGTCCATTCCGGCCCCTACATCCTCCCTCCCTCTCATCCCTCTCCCTCCTCCTCCCCTGCAGGATGTCTCTGGTTTATAACTATTTATTTTAATGCTCTTTCTACACCAGTTGTTGTGCAGCAAGCCCACAGGCTGCAAGGCAGGGAGGCCGGCATCCCAGCCCCAGGCAAATCTTTACTATCTCTTTGAGCTCTCTGGCGTTCTCTGGAGGTCTCTTCCTCTAGTAGCTGTCACTGGTCCTCTCACAGCCATTCTGCCTTAACCGTCCTCCTGTCTCTGTGTGACGCTGCCCTTATGGCCTTGGCCTCGAGGCTCAGGTGTGCGCACTTAGGCATAACCACACCATGCTCCAGGCATGCTGCCCAGCACCCACACTCCCAAGAGCCTTCTGCATTCAAGGCCACAGGTGATAACCACAGAGGCCAGGAGCAATTCATTTGCCCTACAGTGAGGTGGATAATTGAAAACTAGTAGATATTTATGAGACTTAGTGTGAATGACTTGGAGACACTATACATGAAAGCCCTCCACCAAACACTCTTTTGGAGCCAAATCACTGATTACCAGGGCAGTTCCTGGACTTGCTAACTCCATGACTTTGCCTTTTAGGACTGCTGAATGAATTAAAACATGTGTAGAATGAATTTAGCATAGCATTTCTGACACATGGTCAATGTGCAGTAAAGAGCTCAATATTCTTTTTGTTGTTCCATAGTGTAGATAGACCACATTTTGTATTATTTTTTTCTTTACATTGTTATTCATTTTTGTGCAATAAATGAATAAATCCCCATAAATCTCCTACCAACTCATCACACATTAACCATCACCATAGTCCCTTGTGCTTGTCCCTTCCGTTTTGGCCGCACCCTCTCCCCACTGTATGTCTTAGAGCTACAGCTTGCTTGCAAATTTTTTTTTAAAAGATTTATTTATTTATGCATACAAGAACTGGAGTACAGGACAGAGGTGTGGGGTGGGGATGAGAGGGACAGAGAGGGGAACAGAACAGGCAGTCTGACTGAAATACACTGCTGAGGGGAGCAGTGAGCGAGACAGGAGAGGTCTGCTGATCTAACTTGTGCTGCAGTGGCTGCTGATAGCTTCATAGTGTTGAGACAACCAGGGCACCAGGGAGGCCCCAAGTTTTGTCTTTTATTTTTTTACCCTTTTTTTGGTTTCCCTATATTCCTCCTATGAGTGAAACCATTCAATATTTTTCTTTTCCTTTCTAACTTATTTCACTGAGCATAATCCCCTCTAGCTCCATCCATGTTGCCACAAATGGCATGAGTTTATCTTTTTAATTGCTGCGTAGTATTCCATTGGCTATATATGCCACTTCTTCTTGATCCATTCATCCATGAAAAGTGCTCAATATTCTATGGCAACACACATTCCTGGGGTATGTTTACAAAAATCCTCTGTGGTCTTCCTCTCAAAATCCCTTAAACCCACCTTAGTCACAAGAAAAACTCAATCCAATGGGACACAGGTTGTTTTCCATTTTGTGTATTCTTAGAACTGGTACCACATTTTTGTGTCCCTTTGGAGCTTGCAGAATTTATTCCTCTGGATTTTATTTTCCTGATTAAAATCTGAGATAGAATGAAATCTCATTGCAGAATTCACTGATAGTAGTCTCTTTCAACCATTAGATGTGTGTCATACAGGGTTGTCAGACAGCTGAGTTCCTGCTGAAGGCAAATTTCTCACTCAGATAAAAGCATCTGAAAGTGCCATACACAAATCTACCTGCTGCTAATTTCCTCTCTTCAGGAGGACCAAGTATGCCCTACTTTCAAGTCATCTCACACACATCCAGAGGTTAGCGAGGGTACTCCAGCCAGAACAAAGGCCACAGGGGGTAGGGACAAGATTTTTTAATGAGTTAATTTTTAAAATAGTCTATGTATTTTTGTTAACAGATGTAACACATTAGTTGTCCCTCAAAAAAAAACCTGACATAATCCAAACAAGTAATAAATTATGATACCCTCAGTTCTCTTCCCCAAGATTCATGGTATAGATAGAACAAGACATATGGTGTTAAAAGGATCCTTTAAAGTTTACAGCTCTTCCCTATTTACAATAGGTAAAACCTGGAAACAACCCAAATGCCCAAAAATAGATGACTGCATCAAGAAGACGTGGTATATATATATATATATATATATATATATATATATATATATATAGCAGAATATTATTCAGCAATCAAAAAAGATAAACTCATGCGATTTGCAGCAATGTGGATGGAGCTAGAAGGCATTATGCTCAGTGAAATAAGCAAGAAGGAAAAAGAAAAATATCAGATGGTTTCACTTACAGCAGGAATATAGGGGAATCAAATAAGACATCAGTGTAAAAAAATAATAACAGTACAAAACACAACAAAGCAAAAACAGACAATTATAAATCAGAGACATCCTGCAGGGGTGGAGGAGGGAGAGGGATGAGAGGGAGGGAGGGAGGAGCACAGGGGACTGAGGTGATGGTGCATGGGAGCATTGGCAAAGGAAATTCTATGGGGACTACACCAAGGGGTGGGGGGAGGCAAATATTGTTTAAAAATGAACAATGGTGTAAAAAAAATAACAATTATTATTTAATTAAAAAAATAAAGTTTACAGTTCTAGTCTTGTTCTCTTAGCTGAGCCATTGTATCATATCCAAAGTTACCTATTAGATATATTCATTCTTGTATAACCAAAAAAACCCCTCAAGCTTATAGCTTTTCAAACCTTAGAGTTATTTCTTGTTTATTTTTCTACATCTCCTAAATTTTAGCAGATTTTCAAGATTTGTGAATAGTTCTTTCAAATTTTTTCTTATGCTATTTTGCTATTTCCACTGCCACCATACTAATACAAGTCTTCATCAGCTTACACTTGGATTACTACAATTTGAAAATCAGAGCTAAATCTAGGGTAATCAGAGTAACTGTTACTTTTTAGTTAGGATTAGAGAAGATATGAAAAACTAGAATAATTCCTAACATTGGTAGGTATCAG